CCCCCCCCCCCCCCCCCCCCCAGATCATGCTGGATCCATCCATGGATCATATCTGTGTATATGCACTTTAATGGTAAGTCTATACTTGTATTCGTGTATCGGATCATACTGGTATATATATATACCACGGGCACCATACGTACATTTTAGGGTACAAATTGAAGTCCGGATCAAACGAAGATAGGAGTTTATGAGAGTTCTTAATGTTAGTTCTTAATGCTTTCCTGACACTGCCATGTATGGTTAAAATAATCATCAAATCATTTCGTTAATTAATCTAGAGCTTGTAATGTCCCCCGTGACAATGCCAATTCTCTCATCTTCGTTTGTCTCGATCGGCTTAATGAAATCTCTATTGTTAACATTGAAAAGAAACGGATAATCCCTAATCAGTTCCAGCCGAGAGTTTATAAAACAAATGCGACATCGCCCGACATAATTTGCTAATGGAAGACTGTTTAAAGATGGCAAAACATCAGGATTTTTTAATATCTCACTCGATTGAACTATGTTGAAGGATTTTGTAGATGTTTCCGAGTGTAAATTTTTATACAATTATTGAGATCTAACCAGGAGCAGTTGCGAAATATGCAACTGTAGGCCCTTTGGCAGACTTTCTCATAGTCCTTTTCAGGTCTTCGCCGCCCGCTATTCGAGATCGACTTGTGGGTAAGTCCAGCCCTCGGTGCAGCGCTCTAATCAACTGAGCTACAGAGTCCAGTTGGCGAGCTCTAACTACAAATTTATTTACATCTCACTCGATTGAACTAAGTTGAACGATTTTGTATTAATTGATGGAAATTTCGAGTGTAAACATATAGTAATACCTAAACCAGGAGCAGCTACCAAAAATGCAACTATAGGCCCCCTGGCATGGCAGCAGTCACGACCGAGGTCCGGAGGTCGTAATTTCATTAAGCCTTGGTTTTTACTAGCTACGTCCACTGTCCACAGAAGCATTCGCCTAAAATGCGAAATAAGCCAGGATTGATTAGAACTGTGAAAAGATGAGACACTCCGATCACTGGCACGTGACTGCATAGCATTGTTCAGTTTTGCTATCTATAAAGTGTTACGCAATGCCCATTGCAACAACGTAAAGAGTAGAGGTGTGCATCGGATCGGATTGGACGTTTAAGTTGATCCGAAATTGTTTAATCCGATCCGAGTTTTGAAAAAGAATTCCAATCCGATCCGAAGAATTCTTTAATAAAATAAATTTCTCATTCCAGTTGAAATATTTAACCAAATAAATATAAAAGCAAGAAATACATGGTAAGAAGCTGACAAAGTGACGTCCAATTGAAGTGTCAAACGAATAATGCAGCGACAACCGCGATAATGCTTAAAATGTATGGATAATTAATTCTTGCGATAATGCGTGGATAATTAATTCATTTTATTTCGGATATTGAAGTACGATCCGACTACGAAACAACTTTATTAATCCGATCCGAAATGAATATTTTGGTTCCGAAATCCGATCGGATTAGCCTGCGCGCAGACTATATAATGACATATATATGTCAGATTTGGATCGGATTTGCACACCTCTAGTATAAAAGAGAGTAAAATATAAAAGTGATATATGATATATGATATATGATTCGATCCGTGACGTTTGGCAATGTCACATGCCGAGTTAGTTCCTTGTTCGTAAACAAATATGGCAGCAAACATCGCCAGCAGTATATTCATTCTTTCTGCTCTATTGTGTGTTATTTTTGACCCTATTCATGCCAGGTCATTCACGATTGATTATGAGAACGATTGCTTTCTAAAAGATGGAAAACCATTTCGTTATATTTCTGCTGGAATGCATTATTTTCGAGTGCCGCGGATGTACTGGAAGGACAGATTACTGAAGATTAAAGCTGCAGGTTTAAACGCCGTTCAAACGTAAGTATGGCAAACATATAGTTACGTCTGGTAAATTATTACATTAAGATCTAAGATTAGTAAGATATACTTTGCATATTGAATGGTAGATGTCTACATTAGCGTAAATACCCCCATATACCTCTGCCCATATACATTAAATCGAATTTAATAAAAAGAATTAAGTTCCAGCAGCATCCGCTCAAAATAAGAAAAATCAATATGCGTTCCACTTCATGAACTGGATTTGCCTCGTCCCCAGGGGCGCTTCATGTGAAAAAAATGAAAATTTCATGTGAGTCCACGATATGAAAAGTTTACATGAAGTAGTGCATCGCGACGAACAAGCGCAGGGGTTTATGTGCTTGAGGCATTCCACCCCACTTTGCGCGCCTATCAGTGTGAGGCACTACTTCATGTAAACCTTTTATATAGTGATTCGTATGTGAAATCGTTTTATAGCGTCTGGGGACGAGGCAGGAACTGGAACGCCATATTAAATCATGTTGAATTGAGGATAAAGACGCGCACATTATGCCGGAATTTCTTTTAGAATAATAGGGGATTTTTTGAAACCAGGAATAATAGGTTTCGGTATGACGTTTCGTGCCAACGTAAGTTGTCCCTAATTGAGGAGAAACTAATCGCTGAAACCTGTATGGCCGTATCCCAGGCTGTATTCTGTAGATTGTAGTTCAAACGAATAACCAAATGAAGCTTGTATTTGTTCGCGCGAAGCGAATTAATTTTGGCAGTGTGATTGGTTGCGAAACATGTACATTTTTCGCGGCGAATGCTGAATAAATTGCAATGGCTTACGTCACGGTAATGGCTAAAAGGGGTTGAATGAGAGGGAGATTTTCAAAAGATACAGTTCACTTTAGGTTAATGTTAGGAATAGGGTTAGGTTTAACCGTTTAAGGGTAAGGTTAATTTAATACTAAGGTTTAGGATTGTTGTAAGTGCCTTGTTGTTGATTCTTTCACGTTTTAACGATCTTGAAAAAGAGGTGCCATCTTGAATATATCTCATCCCCTTTAACAACGACCTTTACGTCACTGAAGGTCTATAGTGATCAGTGTTTCCATTTTGCAAGAATAACATCTCCTTCCTTACTTTCCTACTTGCAAAGCGTGATAAGTCACATAAATATATCTTGCTAATCTATGAATAGGGAAACAGTGACAATTAAAACAGAAGTCCATTTTTCTTTTCCGCCTGTTTTGTTCACAAGGACTTTGTAAACAAAACGTATACTTCGATTTTTCAACTTTATTTCGTTGAACGAGACCTTCAGCAGTAAGGGGCCGACCAGTAGAAAAGTGATGGCAGAGAGGGAGATTTCAGCTTGCACGAATTATTTTGCTTGTGCTGGAATTTGTACGTTTTTTCTTTTGTTTCCATTTTCGCGAATTTTTTGTCCCCCTTTCTAATGGTCCGCTCCTAAACAATTTGCAATCCAGATATTGCCTTCACGACGGCTTAGCTTGACAGTATACTACGTGGAGAATGTAGCTAATTAGGCGGATTTAATACGAGGATTGTCCGAATCTGCCCAAATATCTGCTCTATCACTTGAGGTCGTTCAAGTCTTGCAAGTGACGTCGCAACATACCATGTGGCCAAATTGTTTGAGTTGAGGTATTTTAGGTGGCAAATGTTTAATGCTTTTAAACTGACATACTCAGCATCAAGACAGCTTGCATGCATGTTAGACTAATTTTTGATCTAGGCAAAAAAAGTAAATTCCATAAAGCACTTATTACAATTAGTAAAACTGAAAAATTTGGTTACGTAATGTTGTAAAATCTGGAAAATATAGCCTTGCGAAGTTTGCCTATTTTGTATATGTTTGTATTGCGTGCGGAAGTCGTTATCATTTTTGAGCCGAAAATGGTACCAATTTCCGCGGGTAATATAGCTGCCACGCAGGCTACACGTAATACAAACATTTGCAAACTTTGCAAGGCTATATTTTCCAAGCTTTACGACATTTCACAACCAAATTTTGCAAATTTACTAATTTCATTATGTTCTTTTTAGTGTTTGATTCCCTTCATCTCTTTACTTGGTCTATAACATGCAAGTTGTCCATTAGCCGTCAAATTTTTCCAAGTTTACTTCGTCTTCGACGGAGCTCCAAATGTTCGCTTTCAATAAACTGGTGGCAGTAATATACGAATTCAGAAATTAAAGGCCATTTTTTGGTGAATCCAGACAGTGGTTTCCTCTGCTGTCCATAGTACCCGACCATTATTTTTGCCACCCAAAATCGCTGATTTCTCCGAGCGTCATATAACATTCGCGCGTAACTACAAGACCTGTCAGTTATTAGTCCATATGTGGTAATTGCCTAAAATGTCCGGACGAATAACTGCTGTGCCGCCAAAAGGCCAAAATCTATACCTGACAGTAACATGTTTGGTAAACCCAGCCTCTGGTTATCTGCTACCAATATAGCTACTGTGTATATCGTGTTATATAGGTATGTTGCATGGAATGTTCACGAGTCACACCAAGGAACGTATAACTTTGAGGGTGATGCAGATATTGTGAGCTATATTAAATTAGTACAAGAGACCGGGCTGTTACTTATCTTGCGACCAGGTTAGTCAATGTAGTATATTGTTCCAGTATAGAAGTTGTTTTACTTGTTTTTATCATACAGCATTCAGTCAAGCATCGCAACTCTTCCATAAATATGAAGTAAATATAGTTTTCACTGCAAATTCCTGAAAAAGGCGACTTCGAGGCACATGAGAAAATGTATGTGGTTGGCAGAATGAAAATTTCTTTTTACTCCAGTTGTAACGTCATGCCTCGAGTAACGTAACCTTGAGAGGAAAGAGGCAGGGAACGAGGTTTGAAAAGACGCTGTTTTTCATGGAAATATTTTGAAAACTAAACACCGACGATACAGAAAAGGGTCTGCTTATGTTATTTGAAAAGTACTTTCAATTAGCCTTTCTTACGATGACGAATATCCGCCATTTTTGGTGGCATTCAATTCTCGTTAACCAATGCAGACAATTAAAATAATGTAAAAAGCAATTTTTCAAAATAAACTAACCATTTCCAAAGCAAATTTACCATCATTTGTCCAAAAAGTTATAAAAAATCGCTGTTATGTGGACTTATCTCGCAGATGGTGGCGTGAGAAAGGCTAATTAAGACAAATATGTAATTTTTATTGCGATTTCACTTTAGTGACTACAACGCCAACGGAATATCAGTTACCAAAATGTTTATTTCTCGTTTTCTAGGTCCATATATATGCGCTGAATGGGAATTTGTAAGTACCTTGTAACAGGTTTATCGCGCACGTAATTTAGTGACACCGCAGTGAGTCGTCTTAATTTCAAGTCAATCAGACCATTGAAAATTCAAAATTCACCCCTGAAAAACGGTCATGAAATTCTGGCAAAGATTTAGATTGAGGGTCAAAACAAGCGCATCCCTATATTAACTTCTCAAATAATTGCTGAAACGGTCCTTTGCCTGTTTGGCTTGCAGAAACTTTAACTATAACAGTAAAACTGTTTCTCTTGGGCTCTTAAATGGTTTTTAAAGCCGTTTTCCAATTATTGTTATATTTAGTGAATTTCATAAAATAGTTCATGTTTTAGGGCGGATTCCCACCTTGGTTGTTGAAGAATGCATCCATTATTTTGCGTTCCTCACAAGATCCGGGTATGTCATTTCAATTTATAACACGTTCCAGAGCTAAGTGCGATATTCTATTTAGCAATATTGTGGACAAAATCTTTTTATTACGAGATTTTAGCCACAAATTTAGATTTCGTTTGGACATTTGTGCCAAATTAATCCCACTTTTTCCAAAGAAGATTCTTTCTCGGGAGAATTACGTTAATCCGTGCATAATTTTGCGTTGTTCCACTTAATATACGTTTGTCAAAACTCTTCATTATTGCCAAACAATTATTTCTATAAAAACTGTTCGGACGTATTTGTTATAATATTTAAAATTGGCATCATTTTGAAAAATAACACTTGCTAAATTGTACAAAAATCAAGTAAACTTTATTCAGACAACAAAATGTTGCCTAATTTATTAATACAGCAAGTATTGTCCATACTGTAAAATACACGAATATTATTTACACTATTATACAAGAATTAGCAACAAAATGTCCTTAATTTCAAAACAAGTCCATGTAACCATTCCAAAAGCAACAATATTGACAAGTTAAAAAGGCTTTGGAACACTAATATGTAAAACACATAACAAACGACATATACGCATCCATGTGAAGTTAAAAAATCATTGGAAAACTGCAAATATACATGCATGGCATGGACACGTCCACGCCAAGTTAAAAAAGTAATTGGAACATAAATTTCCAAATGGCAGAACACGTCCACGCCAATTTTAAAAGGTCATTGGAACATAAATATACAATGGCGTGGATGCGTGTCCACGCCATTGTATATTTATGTTCCAATTACTTTCTTAACTTGGCGTGGACTCGTATTGGCATGGACGCGTCCACGCCAAGTTAAAAAAGTCATTCGAACACAAATATACAATGGCATGGACACGTCCACGCCAAGTTAAAAAAGTAATTGGAACATAAATTTCCAATGGCATGGACGCCCCCATGCCATTGTATATTTATGTTCCAATTACTTTTTTAACTTGGCATGGACGCGTAAAAACGTCATTCGAACACAAATATACAACGGCATGGACACGTCCACGCCAAGTTAAATTTATGTTCCAATAACCTTTAAAATTGGCATGGACGCGTCCATGCCATTGGAAATTTATGTTCTAATTACTTTTTTAACTTGGCGTGGACGCGTCCACGCCATTGTTGGCATGGACGCGTCCACGCCAAGTTAAAAAAGTCATTCGAACACAAATATACAATGGCATGGACGCGTCCACGCCAAGTTAAAAAAGTAATTGGAACATAAATTTCCAATGGCATGGACGCGTCCACGTCATTGTATATTTATGTTCCAATTACTTTTTTAACTTGGCGTGGACGCGTCCATGCCATTGTTGGCATGGACGCGTCCACGCCAAGTAAAAAGTCATTCGAACACAAATAAACATGGTATGGACGCGTCCATGCGAAGCTTTAGGCCGTGTTTAGACCGTAGCATAGTGATTTGCATCCGGAGTGCAAAACGTAGTGGTCCGTACGGTAGTTAATATGCTACGGCAAACCATTCCGTTATATTGTAAATACTATACTAAGAAACGTAGTGATTTGTATTCAGAGTGGCATATGTTCTGGTCTATAGTTAGTACACTGTCGGAAACACATTATATTCTCAGTACTAGAATGTTAGCCGTAGTGTTATAGTGTAAACACGACCTTGGGTTGACTGTTGACATATACCTGTACCACTCATCCTATTCTGTGCCTGATCAGTCTTTCCTTCATTTGGGACTTCTCCAAGACCAAGCATTTTACACCCAATGACTGACAAGCCTCGTCACATGAGCCAGATCCACTGCATGCATCAATAGCATAAAGTGACTTGTCCGTTACAAAAGTGTTCAATATCTGCTCATAAAGTTTCTCTTTCGTTAAGGACTCGCCTACTTCGGTAAACAGTATCGGATTACCATTCCCGAGGGCTTTTGTGATTACGAAAAGCCGCATCTTTGAACTGTATCCTATATAAATGTGGGTATAATGTATAAATAATCAAACAATCCACTGATTGATCCTGTGACACTTTTGTTTGGAATGGGGGATCTTGGCAAACAACCAAGAAGGACAAACCCAACAATGCTGTGCAGCACACAGCCAGCCATGCCAGTGATGCCTTCTACCAGCCAGCCATGCCTATTATCAAGATTCATAATTTGTCTGTTCATACGTACAAATACGAGAGTATTAGGCCGAGAGCATGCAAGTTTAACTGGTCAAATACACAATAACCCAGAAGAAAACATAATATTCATTTTCATTGTATCTTTAGCTGAATTTCCACTGTTGTGATAATATGCCAAATGGAAGGCTTTGTCCAGTCTGTTCATCGCATCAATAATAAGACTTATTTGTTCAATCGTCTTAGCTGCTGGACAATTAACAGGAAAGATGACAAATGTTGCCTCATCAACATTCTTTCTTGCATTCATTTCTCTCACCATTCTAACAAAATGGGATAAAAATAAGATAAATTAATTTTAGTTTGTCTCTTGATATTTATTTTTAATATTGTTAAACATTACCAATGATACATCCAGCATGGTCTGGTGGTGGTGGTGTTGGTGGTGGTGGGGTTGTGCTCTAGTGCCAAGTGTTTGTTGACAAGCACTCTAAGGGTGTCAAGTGGTGGTTTGATGGTGTCGGTCGATGCTTCACGGGTGTTGGTTGGTGTTCCACTGATGTCAGTAATAAGCACATACTACTCAAATTACTGTTGTCTCATTATGGTTTTTTTTTGTAGATTTGATTGATCAATGACATTTGCCTGGTATTTGAATACTCAATAGCAAAATTAGCACACCGTTAGTACAACCCCCCCCTAATACAATCAAGTTACATTCATTCCATCACTAGTGGTGGAAACTATAAAAGAACACAGAAAAAATAGTACCACAACTAGCAATACAACTTTGAACTAATTAATGGTGGGTTCATATTAAGTTTAACTATTCCATTATTAGCCAACAAAATGAACAGATGGTATTTAGAAAACAAACAGGAAACCTCTTACCTTTGGTAAGTCAAGAAACACTATTTCAGATCCTTTGGGCATAACTCAGTCAGGCAATCAATATTTAGAATTGTGACACCCTCTTTAAATATGCCATCGGTTGCTCTAAACGAAATAGCACGCTGGACATATGACTTGAAACGTTCAGTGAACTTTCCACGTACAACATCACCCCTAAAACCTTGAATGCTTTCTTCATTGGTAAACTCGGGATATCTGTAATATATAAAAGAGAACATTCATCACAGTAAAGAGAGATATGATATACTCTGTAGAGATATGATATACTCTGCATCATGTTTAACAGCTCAGGAAAGGGCAGTTCTGAATAATGTGTACAGTGCGTCTACAGTAAGTGGGGCCACTTAGAGCACACTAACCCTAACCCTAACCCTAACCATAATCCTAATCTAATCAAACTAAAGCCTGTCCAATCAAAAGAAAGATTCAGGAAGCCATTAACTGCAGTGTTTACTTTTACAAGTCTATTTTTACGGTTTGGCATTTGTTTATTTGTTCAAATTGTTTTGACCTAATGCGGATTGGCTAATGAGCCGTTTGTTGATTTTTTCAATTTTTGTTTTGCAATGTGATTGGTTAGTGTTCTCTAAGTGGCCCCACTTACTGTAGACGCACTGTAACAGTTGCTTATATGGAGTTTTACAGGTTTTTCTCTCCTATATGTTGTTGCGGTGTCCTTTTCTTTTTTCTTCTCCTGGAAATGTTCAATGCAGCAGCTTACAGTTTAAACCAACTAGTATAAACAGTACCTTTCTCGCGCTTCTTGCCAGGATAAGCAATTTGAATACTTGGCGAAGAAACTTTGCAATGCATGCATCTCTTTTAACCGAACGAGGTCAGATTCCATTTTTGCCAACGACTTCTCTTTAGAGTTAACTTCACTCAAGATGTTGATCAACTCCAGCTCAGTGATATTCCCTCTCATACACTTCAGTTTACCATATGGGAAATCTGCCTGACACTTAATGTCTTTCAGTACTTTCTTTGTTGCTCTTTGCCCCTTTAATCTCATTTGGCGGTAGTTGGTTACCATTTCGAGCACCAGTTCGAACACCTTTTCACTAACATCAGCGCTCACAAAGAAAATATTTGCAAGTGTACTCTCCTATAAAATAAATTAACCAAACAATTTTAGACAATTTAACAGGGGGCATGCTAAAGTAGGGTGACGTGTTAAAGGATTAATATGCCCCATGCATACTACTTTTACAAATTAACACTTCTAATGCAAGATAATTTTCCTGGTCAAGAAAAAGCATGTACATAACAATTCGCACAGCAGTTTTCAAGTGACCTGCATATGCACACAGTGGTATCACAATATTGGCAAGGTAATTAAATACTATAAGTAAACAACAACGCTATACCGGAATTGCAGGGCCGTAGGTTCAATTCCTACCAGAGGACCTTGTGCTTCAGTTTTCAAGTGCCCTGCATATGCACACAGTGGTAACACAATATTGGCAAGGTAATTAAATACTAAAAGTAAACAACAACACTATACCGGAATCGCAGGGCCGTAGGTTCAATTCCTACCAGAGGACCTTGTGCTGCAGTTTTCAAGTGCCCTGCATATGCACACAGTGGTAACACAATATTGGCAAGGTAATTAAATACTAAAAGTAATTAAACAACAACGCTGCACCGGAATCGCAGGGCCGTAGGTTCAATTCGTACCAGAGGACCTTGTGCTGCATTTTTCGCAGGCGTTCCTGGTTAGGTCTTAGCATGTATATATGCTCACTTGGATTACAAACCCTAACATTCTAATATTAATTCCACCAAGTGAAGTGCAAGAATCCAAATAATTGAAGTCCACCTTATCACAACCCGCACACCCGATTACCTATATATATATACATGAACTTACGGTTACAGCTCAACAGCTGGCCTCTGTAGTTCAGTTGGTTAGAGCGCTGCACCGGAATCGCAGGGCCGTAGGTTCAATTCCTACCAGAGGACCTTGTGCTGCATTTTTCGCAGTCGTTCCTGGGTAGGTCTTAAAATGTATATATGCTCACTTGGATTACAAACCCTAACATTCGAATAACATATATTACCCTGTATATATACATTGAGCATATACATGATCATGTATATGTTTTCTGATCGGCTGCACAAAACAAGAGTGATTATAATTAAAATAATTAAAGGGTGACTGACTGGTGCCATAATGAACTAGCAAAACTTACGGATTCACCAATAACAGAAGAACACATATTCTTCCATTCAGGGGATTTCTTCATAAGAAATTTATTAACAAGGATCTTTCGGCACAATCTCATCTACAGTTAAAGAAAGTGTAACATGAAGAACAAAATATTAGGGAACAAAGATAGAATCTGATAATTGCAAATCCATTCGACATTAATTCGAACTTGAAAAAGTACTTTTGATACCAGGTGTTCATAAACATTTACTCATGATACCAGCAGCAGCATTGCACCTACAAACGTGTTCTAATTCAATATTTTACCTACCACCTACCACTTTATTATATATTTTCATGTTGGCGTCGATTTATCCAAACCAACTATTAATATGTTTGCAAAATATTCCTAATTTATCAACCATGTACAAAAATGGTCTCGACATGTCGGTAACATCTGCTTTGAAAAATGACCTATTTAGTGTCTTTTCATGTTGGCATCGATTTATCCAAACCAACTATTAATTAATATGTTCGCAAAATATTCCTAATTTAACAACCATGTGCAAATGTGGTCTCGACATGTCGGTGACATCTGCTTTGAAAAATGACCTATTTAGTGTCTTTTCATGTTGGCGTCGATTTATCCAAACCAACTATTAATATGTTTGCAAAATATTCCTAATTTATCAACCATGTGCAAATATGGTCTCGACATGTTGGTGACATCTTTTTTGAAAAATGGCCTGTTTAGTGTCTTTTCATGTTGGCGTCGATTATTGGAGTTTAATATTATCAACATACATAACATAAAGTAATTTTATATTCTTAACGAGAAGAGCGTATAATTATTTTTTAGTAATTTTATAGTATAGTAATTTTAGTAGTCAATGCATGCACTATGTTCTAACACTTAGTATATATTTTTAACACTTGATGTTAAGCGCTATTGAGCTATGGGAAATGGCGCTATATAAATGAATTATAATATAATAATAATAATAATGTCGGTGACATCCGCTTTGAAAAATGACCTATTTAGTGTCTTTTCATGTTAGCGTCGATTTATCCAAACCAACTATTAATATATTTGCAAAATATTCCTAATTTATCAACTATGTCAAAATGTGGTCTAGACAAATCAGTGACAACTGCTGTTTAATAATTCATATTTCGTGTCTTTGGAATACTGGCTTGGATTTATCCAAACCAATTTTTAAAATACTTGAAAATATCCCTATTTTATGAGCAGTGGCGTAACGGGAGGGTGTCAGGGTGTCCAGTGACGGGGGGCCCCCGAACTTTAGGGGCCCCCGACAAAAATGACAATAAAAAATTTGATAGCACATTTCTGGGGAATTGAATTCATTGAATTGAATTGAATTGAATTGAATTAAAAAAACCATACTCTGGAAAGGCTAAATCCGTGGAGAAATTGGGGGGGGGGGGGGTACACGTAGCATTCCTGAAGCTGAGACGGATTAAGTACGTCGCGACTGAGGAAAAGGACGATATACTAGAATAATTTAATCCCAATCTCAATGTCCGGAAAAAAATTTGGACCCCTAAAATGGTACACTGACCGAAAAGTGGTACACCACTCGCCAGAAAAATTTTTGGAGCCTATTTTTAGGGGAGCAAAGGGGGCCCAAAGTGGCCGATTGACGGAGGGCCCCCAGCGGTTGCGTTACGCCACTGTTTATGAGCTACATAGAAATGTGGTTTCAACATATCAATGACAATTCCATTATGAAAATCATGTAGTGTCTTTTCGTGTTAATATTGATTATTGGCTTGGATTTATCCAAACCAACAATTAAAATGCCGATCGGTGACTACTGCTTTTAAAATGACCAAAACCTCTTCTTTAGTTTTTACACTCAAACCTATTGAAAATATTGATCTTTTCTACATTTTTTTGCAACACGTAATATTTTTTGGCAAAATTACACCAAAATGTTAACTTTTAGCATAGGATATTATGAGATTTTACATTTGTGGACATTTTTCTCGCATGAGGTCTATTTGTCCATATTTTTAAGTAAATAGAATATCACACTTTGCTCTGGAACGTGTTTTATGTTTATATATACTGCTTGTTTGATTTCTGAGAATTCGCCATTGTGAAATGAATGGTGCATGCCGGCAATTGAAAAACATTACATTCAAAAGATCGAAAGTATATTTATAATAAAAAATACATAATTGTAATTGTTATATAACTAGGGTGTACCAAAATACCAAACGTGCATAGCTTTAGATAAATCATAAATAAACAAAATGGCGGCACAACTCGCACGTACTTGGCACTTGCGACTAATAGCAGGAATCTAGTCCAGCTTAGATGTTTATAAGGTTATAAATACGGTATATTTTCCCGTTTGCTATCAGCGAGCTTCCCAGTAGCTCAGTGGATACAGTTTATAAAATGCGCAGGAATCTAGTCGACCTGCGATCAGGCGTTCTTGAGAGACCCTACGTCTAAACCTAAACCTAACCTTAAACACAACCCGCATCCCAAACCCTGTGTCCCTGTCCCTATAAACCCCTTCGCCTTAACTTAATTAAAACTTAAAAAAAAAGTTTCCAAAAAGTAAAACTACTTCACCATTACAGTCGCATACCGTGATTTTTCAAGTTTGTATTAAGATAAAGAATGTAAAAGAGAAGAAAATACACAACAAGCAATAGGATATGCTGCGCGCTGAAACCGTTTAAGTAGTTTCTTTTAATTTTAAACTCGTTTACATGCACTGTAGAGTTTTTGTCACGAAATACAATTTTTGTATAAATGTTGTTACGTTGATTTTTCTTTGTCTGGAATTAGTTAGTTTTGTTTCCCCTCGAATCTCAATGTTTCCCTCGACTTCGTCTTGTGAAATATCGAGACACTCGGGAAAATAAAACTATTTCTTTCGGGAGCAGACATTTAAGTGTATAATATAACCCAAAGCTTATTAGGCAAAGTGAAAAATCATGTGAATTTAACAAAAAATAGAAAATACTTTTTCTTACTGTATAATGTATTATATATATGTATACGATTATTATATAGTGTATATCTCGGCAGTAACGTCATGGTTTAAAGTTCTTTTAACAAAATTACGACCATATTTATATTCAAATGGTGGACCGATAATTTCCGCGCAGGTATGTTTTTTTTGTTTTTTTTTTCATTTTCTCCAATTTACCCTATAAAGATCTTTGGAAGCACATCTCGTACGATCAAAAGATAAGCTTGTTTCTTTTCAGTAATTTCACGTTTAATAATACCACTGATCCTGCCTCCTCCACAGACCCTGCTGCACCATGGTAATGTTACACACAAATTCTACCTTACTAACCTCTCAGGCCTAGCCAAAGAGGTTATCAGAATTTTTGAGAGTAACATTCATACATTTATTAGACATAACCAGGAACAGTTCCAAAAAATGCAACTATAGGCCCTCTGACAGGAATCCAACCTGCGACTCAGAACGGATGAAATACCATTACAGAGACACTAGATTTCAAATTTTTTTCGGATACCTCTAGAACTCTGTGTAGTTAAAAACAGTCAAGTATAGTCGACAGATCTGATAGTTATTATTTTGAAAGTGGAGACTTCTATAGGCAGGTGATACAGACCAATCTAATGACTTGGCAAAACTCTATATTGATTAGAGCGCTGCAACGGAATCGCAGGGCTACATGTTTGATTCCTGCCAGGCAGCCTATAGTTGCATTTTTTGCAACTGCTCCTGGTTAGGTCTTAAAAATTGTATATAAAATTCTGTTCGAGTATTCCACCTTTAAACTGAACCCATTCCTTACTCACTTCAATCAATGCATAGTATACAGTCACATAGCCTTTGGATACACACATATCAAAATACACCGTTCAGGTCTTTATTGAAAGTAACTTGCTGTATGAACAGTACAACATACTTTCATGCTAATATTATACTCATTTCCAAATCAATGTATCATTCATAATTTTCTTTCCCACACTGTACGGGTGCCAGCCTTCGGCAGCACTTTCTTTGCGATAGTAACTTCTAGTTTTATACGTCATATCGGCGATATCGCTGTCCGTGCAATGAGTCGCGCGTAAATGATTATCTATTCATCTTTATGGTGTTTGTGATGTTACTCTGAGTGTATATCCACACCGGGCAAGCTTGAAATAAATGCCTGGCCACGGTGAGAATCGAACCTACGACCTTTGGGATACTAGCCCATATTCATCTTTAATTCTGTCTTTTAAAATAAGCTACAATTCGCTACTTTGAGATGTTTTGACTTTCTTTAACAATTTTTACTGCAGTATTTATTATATGAATAAATTGTTAAACACGTCCGTATTTATCAATATGATAAATTTGCGGCACCTAACCCCTAACACTAACTCCTAACCCCTAACACTAACTCCTAACCCCAACCCTAACCCCTAACCCTAATCTAACTTTTTAAAACTTTTTTTGAAAATCTAACTTTTTTAAATACCGCTGATTTATATACCGCTTTATTTTTGTGAATATATATTAGTTTTAGTCTCAATGGTCATATAATTAAAAACGAAAAATGGATATTTTCATAAAATTCTTAAAAATAATCGGGATAAACAACAACTAAAATTCCTTATTTTTGGTTCTTTTTTCTGCTTAATGCCCGTAAAGTCAGAAAGTTTGAAAATAAGTTCGCAAACCAACATGATTTACATTCATCAACAGTTTTTCTAAGCGATACAACATTTTTACTATTCAGGAATCTCACTGAGTAATCAAATTTACTATAAAAAACTCAATTTTTCAATATTATTGGTAAACCTAATATACTGTGGTACATACCACCAGTACTCTGTACTGATTTTAGTGTTTACCTTCCACTAAATTAAGTTAGCAATATCTGAACAGTGTTATCACACAACATGACACACCAAATCCGCGTATACAATATGATAAACCGTTCCTTACTTATTGCCGTACTGGTATTCTGTGGTACATTAGGATTTTATCCACAGAATGTCCGATTTAAAAAATAATAGAATCTATCAAATCTAACCCCAAGACCCCACAGGAAGAAAACAAATAATGAAAAACTATACCAAAAAATATTTTACAGGCTATGTTATATGCATTTGACAAAAGATATGGAACATGTAAATTTGTGTGGTATTCTGTGGTACATACACCTGTATTCCCATAATTCTTTTAGCACTCACATAAATATTGTACAATTGCGATGACAACCTTAATTGAATTAGCTTAATTGGGTTATCAACAAATGTCACTGTCACAGCGACATAATCACATGAATACTTCCTTGGCTGCACTCACTGCATCTGCATAGTATACAGATTAAGTAATTAAGGGATTGGCATCAATATGACATATGCTGTAAAACCCTCTTCCATCCGATCTATTCTAAAAGACCACACGAGTCAGAACACGAGTGAACACGAGTGAACACGAGACAACACGAGTGAACACGAGTCAGAACACGAGTGAACACGAGACAACACGAGTAAACACGAGCCAAACATTTGTGGACACGAGTGAACACGAGTCAAAAATGACGAACACGAGTGAACACGAGTCAAAAACTGACGAACACGAGTGAACACGAGTCAAAAATGACGAACACGAGTGAACACGAGCCAAAAATGACGAACACGAGTCAAAAATCTGTGAACACGAGTCAAAGAGGCTCCTTGCAGTTTTAAGCCCGTGATAAAGGCCGGTCTGTACTGTGTAATTGCACGCGGGATAGTCAGGATTCTTGGCGGCACACAGAATGTTGGATTAATAATAATAATAATTATTATAACGAAAACTTTATTAAATTTTAATAATAATAATAATATTTATAATTATTATAAATATTATTATTATAATTATATTATCATTAAAATATTATAATTATATACATAATAATAATTTATAATATATTAATTATTATAATGATTTTTATTAAATAAAAATTATTATTAATTAATTATTATGCATATATATATATATATATATATATATATATATATATATATATATATATATATATATATATATATATATATATATATATATATATATATATATGTATATAATAATTAATTAATAATAATTTTTATTTAATAAAAATTATTATAATAATTAATATATTATAAATTATTATTATGTATATAATTATAATTAATTATAATATATATATTATATTATAATATATATCATAATATATATATTATATATAAATATTATATATATATAATATTTTTATAATATTGAAGTCTAGACTGGAATTGAGTAAACTGGGCCAAAGTATCAGCCTTGCCAGCTATGGAAATGGGCCATTTTTTCAGGATGAACATTGATCGTTTGTGTTCAAGCTCAGAAAGTACTGTATTTGCATACTTTTCCATAGTATTTTCATATTCCCATACTTGCCGTATTTTCATGCTATTACCATGATATATAGTATATCTACAACACTAGTGTATGGAGGAGTAGTACCTTTGGATCCTGGGCAGTCGCATCCTCGGATAGCTCGTGAACTTCTGGTCTCCACATACACTCAACTCGCACAACTGGCTCCAAGAAGTCGCATGGGCAATGCGACGGCCACACCCCGGTAAACTGCCTCGGCTGGCAGGCTAAACGTTGTGCGGGGACAGCGGATTGTAGTACCGCTATTTAGGGCATGCGTATAAGATCATTTAGCTACGTATGGTCAACCACTGCAGCAGATGTTTCCTCTAGTCGTCGTGTTAACATGCCACTGGATATTGGGAACTGATGCCGAGAGAGTGTGGCAGAACGTGCGCAACTCTGCACCACTATAATCAAACCATCTGCGCAGGAATCTTTTTGTTGGATATTGGATATAAAAACGGAACGATCGATTTCATCGGACTGGACATTGGATGGACGGACGGAAACAAGCCCAACGACGACGGGGGCGTGGTGAAGCGACAAGCAAAGGATATTGCCCGAGTCGTAATCACAAACCTGCACGTTGGCGGTCTGGGATTTTGGTCGCTCTGCCCACCAAGGAGTGATGTGGTGGTTCGGCAGCACCCCAGACGACGGAGTAGCCCTATTTAGGGAGGACACTGCTCCCCCCAATCCGGGGAAGGGACTAGAAAAGGTGATCCCAAAAAACGTTCACTCCACCAACTCGGTTAGCAAACCGCGGCTGACGAGTTATCCCACTTTTGCGGTCGAAACACAAAGAAAAAACAATTAAATATTGCAGTATGGAATTAATGTGAGGACTTTGCAGAGCGAAAGTACAACAGAGCGGAGGACAGCTATTATTGGACTAGAATTGGAAAGATATAACATTGATCAGGGCCGCCCAGAGGTTGGCGGGGGCCCGGGGCAAATTTTTTTTAGGGACCCCTATCTAAAAAAAATTTCCGGAAAATATTTTTTCCGGATAACAAAAATTTCGGTAAGTGTACCATTTTAGGGGTAAAAAATATTTTCCGGAGTACAAAATTTTGCCGGACGAGTACGTTGCAAATGCTTTCGAGGGACTTTATCTCATTTTTTTATGCCAAAATTCGGTACTTAGCCCAAGAAAACAGATATCTTGTCCTTTGCGCGGAAATATTTAACACACAAAAAAGGCTGGGGCCCTACAAAAATTTTTCAGGGCCCCCCAGCAACTCGGCGCCCGGGGCAATTTGCCCCCTTTGCCCCCCCCCCCCCCTCTGGGCGGCCCTGGCATTGATATAGCCGCATTGAGTGAAACTAGATTCGCTGGTACCGGACAACTTACTGAACCAACATCAGGATATACCTATTTATGGAGCAGCTTACCGGAAAGCGAAAAGCGTCTGCATGGCGTCGGATTCGCTTTAAAAACCTCTATTGTTAAGGAATTGGAAAATCTGCCAACCGCAGTAAACGAGGGTCTCATGTGCATGGCTCCGTTTGAAAATAAGTGAGAAACGTTACACAACAATAATTAGCGCTTATGCTCCCACAATGACAAACGAAGAAGTTGTAAAGGAAAAATTCTATGCAGACCTTGATAATATCCTGCGCAAAACGCCAAAGGAAGATAAGCTGATTTTGCTGGGTGATTTCAATGCCCGAGTTGGTGGAAACAGTACATCTTGGTCGCGCACAATTGGCAAATATGGGGTTTGGAAATTAAATGCAACTCAAATGGTTTAGCTACCACTGGCAAACCTTTAGCTACCACTGGCAAAAAGATCGACGTGGATGCATCCAAGATCTAAACGCTGGCATCTGATTGATTATGCAATAGTAAGACAAAGGGACCTAAAAGATGTTTGTATAACACAAGCAATGTGTGGTGCTGAATGCCAAACCGACCACAGAATGGTCAGAATGAAACTAAAAATGATAATACAACCGCAAAGGCGAAAAGTTGCATTCAAGGACGTCAGAAAGCTGAATGTGGACAGACTAAAAAGCAATGAGATCAAAAATGACTTTTCTGCCAAGATGGATACTGCCCTCAACCAAATAGCTGACCGTCCAAGTGACTCCGTTCACGATAAATGGAAGGAGCTGAAAAATCAAATACTCAAAGTGTCGAAAGAAACACTCGGTACGAAAAGCAAGAAACAACCTGACTGGTTCGAAGAAAACATCGGGTCAATAATG